GTTAATTGAGATAGTCTAAAGCTGTCATTGCTGCTTTTGTTGAAGTCCAAAATCTTATTTCCTAGAAGACAAAACAAGACCAACACACATAAAGGGGTCAGGAATAGAACAGCAAAGATAGAAAACACAGTTTCTGTCTCTGGTGTTGACTAATTTACAACCTCATTGCTGAAAACAGCAGGCACGTCATATGGTCTTGTCTTAGCTACCCTGAGACCTGACAAACTTATACCAGCTTTCCAGCTGTTTAGGGCATTGCATCAGCTGCCTCTTTCTGGTCACAGGCTTACAGCTGCATTGCAAAATATAGTCTTGTCGGCTAAACCAGACTTTTATTAGATGGAAAAAAGAGAGGGATAGGAAAGAGAAGAAATATAGTGGGGATAGGAGGGTGGGGGTCAGAATAAAATCTCACATTCCAAATGGTGTTTGGGTTTCAGCGGGAGTCCATGGATGTGGCAGTGTTACCTGGGACTCTCTCTCTAGCCCAGTCTGCTCAGGACATTTTTCAGCATCAGAACGAAGAAGGGCCCAATTCCCAGGAGTCAGTGAGCATGGCAGCTATGATGGTGAAGCTTGTTCCAATAGCCAATTTGTCTCCCAAGGTCTTTCTAAGAACCCCAAAAGTGAGCTTTGGGCAGAGTAGTCCATCTTCCCTTATTTTGTTCCCCAATAGGCCTAATTTCTGACACACCAGTTTTGGTTCATTGATTCCAGGCCCACACTTCCCTTGCTCATGGTCTTATCATAAACCCTGAATTATATCAGTTGGTCTTTCCGTTTGGACTAATTCAGTCTGTCTCACTTTCGCACCTTTTCTCATCAAACATTTCTTATAGGTTATTGTGACATCTTACGAACTTTTACTCACTTTTTACAGCGGAGCTTACCACGAAGATGAACTGTGGTCCAATTATCACAATGGACCAGTAAAAGCTGCTTCAGAGGAGATGCAAGAAACCCTGCCATAGAAGTGCGGGCATAATCTGTCCCTATGGAAAGTTTCCTCCTAACCCCCAACAAACGTTGGCTTAAGCTCTGAAGCATGAAGATTTCTCTCTTCCAGAACACGGGTAACCCACAATAAGAAAAGGAGAAAGTGAAAGATTCCTGTTAGACCTGCAGTAGCAACTGGCTAATATACACTATTCTGAAAGCTATGCTAGCATCAAGGAAGGTATTGTTGCTCATATAAGGAGGTTAGAGAGTCATGTTAATTTCTGTCATCAGAAACACTGGGGTGAGAGGAAGAATTAATACACTGCCTTGTATCACCCATTGGAAAAGAACAAAAATAAATGAGAGAGAGTTTTTAAACCAAGTATTAGAAACTATGGAGAGAGTTAAAAGGGTAAGTAAGTATGTTGCACTTTTCTTACTCTAAACTGCACAGTGCTGTGTGTACATGGAGTAAAATGGCAGATATTAAATCTGTTTCTGGTATGTTCAGTGGCTCAGAAGCCCAAATTGAGAGATTTTGATCTACAGCCTTTGATTAAAAAATATCGATCACTGACCAGATTAGCCAAGCCACTGTTAAAACAATACTAGAGCACATCTTTTGACGCAGCTCCAGACATATCCTCCAGCCAGATGTTTTGACACGGAAAGTGTGAACAGGAAAATTTCACCCAAACAGCGTTTTTCCCAGAGACATCTGCAATCAAATGATACTTCAGCCTAATGAAATAATGAAGTCCTGTAAGTCTGTAAAACGGCAAGAATGGCTCCCCACCAACAGCATAATTAAACAGCATCACGAGCCGAATGATGCATAGTCAGATATCAACATGATCTTTTCTGTCATTAGGACAAGAGCTGAAGGAGATTTCCTCAGCGTCCTGAGGGTTTGCCTTAGTAATTAGTATCCTCCCTGCAGCTTAGTCTATTTTTGTGTTCTGGTAAGCTAAAAGAAAGAGAACCTCACCTAAAAGAGAAATAATAGCTTCACTGAATTAATAGGATCTGGCAGTTCATTTTTTGTTTCACAGTATTTGCATAACACAATCAGAAGTCTTATGTATTAACATCAGTGTCATCCAATTAAAGGAACTTCTACAGAAAAAGAGAGTATGGGTTAAAATAAGTACCACAAATAACTTAGGTGGCTGCTAGTATCTGGACATGAAAGTAGGCACTACATTTCAGTACCATCCTCTCCAACTCCAAAACACAAAACTACATTAAAGTGCTAGAAAACAATCTCTCAGGGTTGGTGCATGCAGGGACTTTTCTACAGCAGCAACACACAACACACAAGGTTACAGTTTTTGGTAGTCTTGAAGTTTCAGAGCAGAATCCAGGAACAAGATACAGTGAGAGAGAGGGTTAAAGTGGTTTTAAAAAGATTTCTGCATACTGAAAGACAGCAAGGGCAATCCTACTACTGGGTGCAAAAAGTGGGGTTCCCTCTTTTTAGCTCTCATAAGAACATAAATAGCAACTATATGCTCATGAAACTTTTACTCTCTGCACTATTAAACACAAAGTCAGGTAACATCCTAGAACGCTGATTTCTTTTTTTAAGAATCCTGTTGCCATGTGTGCAATTTCTGTTTGTCACGTTTAATTCATTCCTAAAATTAGCAACATCAGACACAATGTGAGACAGCCAATACAACCATGGGTGGGCCATGACTACAGCACAAAAAGTGGGAAACAGGTTTTAATCCACAGAACAGAAGATCCTTGGTACCAAAAGGGAAAAAAAAAAGTGTGTGTAGGGAGATTATGCAGAGAAAAGAGGACACAACGAACATCCACATCTGCCAAAAAATTCCATTGTCAATTCTCTTGGAGCTTGTCTAATTTCCCCCTTTCACATTCATTTTTTTGCTGCAGAATAAAATAATTCTTATTTGGAAGATAAAAGAAAATGGCATTTGTGTTTCACTCACAAAGCTGCTTGCAAAGCTTTTGTAAAAAAAAATCAGGATCCAAAATTATTTTATATATTTAAGGTTACAACCAAAATGTTTTAAAATCAGTTCTTCGGCAACTTGTTATACATTATTTAGTATGTGTGTTAAGGTAGCATTTAGAGGTCCCAGCCAAGATTGGTAGGTATTCTGCTGGTACCCGACACTGGTGTCCACAGGGGTATTTTGATCTTTGAAATAAGCACATGTACAATGTTACATACTCTATGTCTTTCATCTGTTATATGCCCATAGCACCATTTAGAATAGCTATATGAAATAATTATAATGTATCTTCTAGTCATGCAAACCATCCTAAAACCCGGAAGGAAACAGCCACATGGAAGCAGATTAAACATAATGGTGCTAGCACAATTTCAACCATAATGTTTGCCAAAAGACACGTGATTCCCTACCAACATCTGAAAGAATTGGGACAGCCAGAAAGACTCTGTAATGATCAACCAAAAGGAACATTCCATTTGTGCATTACGGTAAATCTTTATCTTAGGATAACCAGTGGTAAAATAATGAAAAAAAATCAAGGTGGTTCTCCCTGTACAGGATCCATTTCCAGAGAAGAGATAACAGGAGTTTCTACTAGTATCTCTCTCACAGGGAGGAAGTGCATCTAGTGATGGTTTTAACACACTTTCTCACCCACAGCACAATGAAAGGAAGCTTTTAGAAACAACTAGTCAGCACACAAAGCAAGTTCCATTTGTTAGGCTGCTAATCAAGCAAAAAACCCCAAGAACAAAAACCCCTCACTGAAAGAAATTTAACTCAATTGAATGTTTCATCCATATTCCCTTCAGGGACACAGCCAGATTTGACAGGCTGATAATGTAGCAAGATCCTCTTCTTATATATTTTTGTTCCCCTGATACCAATACACTAATAATAAAGACTACAGCCATCCCAACTGAGAACTACCACATTCCGCACCTTTTATTCTAAAGGATGCCAAAGCTCCTCACAGACCACAGGCCCAATCTAGAGCAATACTTACTGGCCCAAACAGTCCCATTAAATTCAATGGGACTCCTCATCTGAACTATTGACTTTTCAGTTCGATGGGTGAACAAAATAGATTTGGTTTGTTTCAAACAAACTGAATTTTGTTTTATTTTTCTTGATACTGAGGTAGTTTTGTTTGGGTCACATGAAACATTTCAAGATTCATTTCAAAATGACATTTCTAAAATGTTAAAATGAACAATTTCAATTTTGGGGGGTTTTTTTTGGCTGAAACTATTTGCTGAATTCGACCCAAAACTGCATTTTTCAGCAAATTTACTAATAAACCGAAGAACTTCGCCCAACTCTATTTCTAAGTTTCTGCAAGATCAGGCCCTATATACATACATATACACATTACCAACCACTGCAACACAGTTCCCTCTGTGGTAGAGATTGTTTAAGAAGGCATAGCAGCATTACATAACACTTCAGAGAAGGAAGTGAAGGATCAGTTCCCTTAATCAACTAAAAGTATATCCTCGGTCCTCTGAAAAGAAAAATAGATATTCCACACATTTGCGAGTAGCGAAAGAATGCAGAAAACAGGTGAGCGCATTGTTCATGACGAGCACAACTGCCACAGCACTGGGCTTGTTACTGGTCAGCCAACTGTTCAGCTCTTATCCTGGAAGGTCTACAATTCGTATTATGGGAATGCCTAAAGGCTCCACCCAGGAAGACACTCTCTGATACACTCAAATGTAGTTTTTGGATAGATTACCTAGTCTAGAAGTTTTTAGCCTTTTCCATACTGTGAATCCATGGTACATCAGAAAAAGACTTTGGGACAATTCTCCATAAAGAGAGGGTGGTTTCAGCTCCCTAGAGCTTGTTCGCAACCTCCAGGCTGAGAATCCCTGATCTAATCTAGGTTTGATTTAAATTAAAGCAAGGGTAGAATTTTCAAAAATGCCTAAACCCCATTTTCAAAAGGTATTTGGGTACTGCTCTGCTCAGCATTGACTTAGGAAGTCTAACAATCATTGCCAAAAAGGAGTTCCTGAATCACTTTCAAATATGAGCTTTAGGTTTCCTAAATTAGGTCATGTCTAAATTATGAGTTAGTGAGAAGCAAACTGTGATGGAAATCTACAACACTCCGGTGTGCCACATACTCAACTGTCCATGTGAACCCTGCTGTTGTGCACTTAAAGTTCCCTAGTGTGCTGTCCACATGGACAGCTAGTGCACAGCATGTTGGAGTGCTGTAGATTTACATCCGAGCTTGCCATACAATGAGCATTCATGCAAACATCCCTGTGGGCACTTCTGAAAATTGTATTTCAAATCCAGCTAGATAATATTTTTTAAAAAATGAAAACATCAATTAAATTGTGTATGTGTCAGCCTGGACACTATTTACAAGGTGACAATTTTTGATATTTAATTTGAGGCCGATGTAGTGTAGCAATATTTCCTCCAGTTCTCTTTCTGGAAATGCATTTGCCAACAGAACCCAACAGAACCATTTACACTTCAAAAACCTGCATGTTTTCCTTTCCTTCTCGCTTTTCTTTCCTGCCTTGAAGTCACAGGAACAGCAAATGAGAAAAACTGGGAAAGAAAAAAAAAACCTACGCAATTATTGTAAATGACCCCAAATTAGAGGTGATTGGATAGATTAGCTCACATTGCATATTAGCTCCTCAAAGTGTGTGAAGTGCAAACATTAATACAGAAGAAGATCCTATCAGGATTTTGTTTAAATGGCTTGCCTTTGTACAAATGAACCCCATTTAATTAAGTAGGGCCTAGAATTCTTACATTCCATGTTGTGGGGTTTAAAAAAAAACAAACAAAAAAATCCCACACAACACACACCACAGCTCAGATGAATTAAATATCTTATAGAAACTGACAGGACAAGAGAGATTTTGCTGAAATTGTGTCATAAAATAGAAACCGGAAAGAAGGAAGCACTCAAGGATAAAAACACTTTGACATTTCCGAGTGCTTATTTTTGAACTATAGACTGTAAAATTATCAGGCCAAATGGGTTCAAGGCTTTACCTTTTTGTTAAATGCTGGGTAAGAACCGACCCTGCAGAGTTTCAAAAGGAAGGCTCAAACTTTCCCCCTCTTCCACTTAAACATGACATTTTCAAAGAGGCCTTGAAGTACTCAATTCCCACAAACTCATTCCAGCTGCAGTGCTACCTCCTCCCCTTAAAGCCCTTTCAAAAAACTCTGCTTAAGTGTAAGGCTGCACTATGGGGCTAAGTGGCACCTCAGGAATCTAGGGCTTAAATCACAAGCACTTTCAATCCCCACAATGGGAGGAGCAGGTATTCAGCACTTTGCAAGATCAGGTCCCTGGTGAGCACTGAAAAGCATGAGGCAGAGTGTGCATGTTCTCAATGGACAGCTTTTATTTTTAAACACAAAAAACAAACAAAAAAGCCTATCTAAAAACGTAGGTACATTGTTTTATGCAAAAAGAGGATCAAACTCTCTCTTGGAAAGCATTTAGCATTCCAATGCAGATGAGAATAAATATCCAGAAATAGAGAAAAGAACATTTATATTATATATATAAACCCACGGAAATAATTTGGCTTACTTTATTAAGTGCTCTTCAACCACTTAAGAACAGGCTTCATTTAATCTGCCGCAGTGTTCCTATGCTAGAAACTAAATGTGGTAGCTTCCTCCCCAAGGTGACCTTCACTGTTTTAACATGCTAGATATTTGCCTTCCAGGAGAGACTGTAAAGTTGAGATGGAGTATATCAGATACATCCTTTGTGCCGTGAATGATATGCAAAGACCAAGCCAGAAAGGTACGTACACTAAACAACGAGAAATAGTTTGCAGAGCAATCACAAAGTACATTTCAAAATGCGGAATGAAGGGAGGTTTTCTCCATTTAAAAGATGGCAATTATTGAGTTCTATTAACCCTTCTTAACACAACTCACTGCAATAGGAAGTTTTAAAGAGAAAAAGAAGAAGAAGAAAGGGAAAGCACAGTGTCAAATTTCAGTGCCTCTGAGTTGAGGCCATTTACTTTAATTATACTTTGAAAAAGACAGTAGCATATTATGTCTCTGAAACAACAGGTATAAAAGAAAGCACAAGGGAACAGCATTGTGCAGGAGCATTCACATTTACATCAGCCACTACATTTCAATTCTAGCTCCGAAGTCTCAAATGCAAAATTAAAGTGAATAAAGCCTTCAACTACCGGAAGGGAGATTCCAAAAAGAGGATGGAGCTAGGTTGCTCTCAGTGGTGGTAGATGACAGAACAAGGAACAATGGTCTCAAGTTGCAGTGGGGGAGGTCTAGGTTGGATATTAGGAAACACTATTTCACTAGAAGGGTGGTGAAGCACTGGAATGGGTTACCTAGGGAGGTGGTGGAATCTCCATCCTTAGAGGTTTTTAAGGCCTGGCTTGACAAAGCCCTGGCTGGGATGATTTAGTTGGGGTCATTCCTGCTTTGAGCAGGGGGTTGGACTAGATGACCTCCTGAGGTCTCGTCCAACCCCTAATCTTCTATGAGTCTATGAAAAGGAATCCAAAATCTAAAAGTTAAAATGCACTCTCGATCTGTGGAACCCAAAAGCATGTTCTAAATAGCACATCAAATTAAATAATATCAGCGTGAGTTAGTCATGCCAGTCACAGAAACACAGCCGAAGCAGTCTTTGAAGAGGTATCCCATGGTAGGAAGTGGGACCCTGGAAAGCTCCTCGAATGCATTTGGCTGGTGGAGGAGCAGACCATTGGGTTCTCTGGTCTTTAAGACACTGCATTCAGCATAATAGTCAACCTAGCACTGCTGCTCCCTTGAAGGAAAGTCCAGTTGGGGGAAGTGGCTAGCCTGGCACTTCCCAGAAGAATGTTCCCTGCTGTGAGGGTGAAAGGAAGCCTTGCCCCAGGTATGAGGGCTCAGCCTAAGGCAAAGAACAAAGGGTTGTAGTTTGGAAAAGACACAACAACAACATGTTAACTACCGCAAGCTCACTGGCAAGCAATTAACTCCAGGTAAAAAGCCTAGTGTAGACATACTCCAAAGCTCCTGTCTGATGGAGGAAGGCATCAGAGCCTCCAGTTGGAGACCTACACTGAGGGAGCGGGTGGGGGGGGGGCAGGAAATGGGCCAGAACTGAGCTAGAGACTGATGGTTTGCCTGGAAATCTGGAGGAAATTGATTGGAACGTGGGAGGAAAGTAGGTATGTAATGCATGAGGTGGTAAGTGGAACATGATCTGTACCAGTGCATGGTAGGAGTAAAGTCTCAGATGAGGGAAGGGTTAAATTGGGCTAGAGCCCATTTTGCATAGCATTTGGGGGGAGTTGCAAGGAAAGATAATGAGCTGCTGGCTGACAGACAGAGGTGTAGGGAGTGTGATGTACAGCGTGTATATATAGACATAAAACAGGAACCATGTCAATTTTTAATACCACTTTTATTAAAGTAATGCATTAAACATTACATAAAATAGATTTAACATTTATGTGTCTGAAGACAGTCCTAATTCTAGTGTATGAAATACTGTTCTTTTAAAAGGGGTGCAAAAAAGTGAGTGCACACTTGAAGCAGGGCTAGAGTCACTATTTTAAGCCACTGGGGTGACAGCAACTCCTTAGGAATCTTGCTAGTGGTAGTTTTCTAGGGGGATGTACTAAATTAGTATATCCATACGCTGTCATATCCTCTCCCCATCCAACACCACCCTCACTTGGGGAGTTGCATTGGCCATCTGGAAGCTCCCAAACACAGGGGAACGGTAACGATTCCTTGCACTGCTGTAATCATTCCCTCCCTTTTCTGCTGCTAGGAGTCCTGGGCCAAGATGTGTAAAAGCCAGCTCTGGGTGAATCTATGTCAGCTTTTCATTATTATTTTATTACTGTAGTACTCAGCGTACGCGCAATGTGCCCAACCATTTGAGGGGGTCATCATCAGCCAGGTGGAGAACCGGCAGCCTGCCGTCAAAACAAGTTGGCACTCATCAAGGATATGTGACATAGTCAGAATTGACTGCAGCTGCACCGTGGGTCATTAGAAAACCCCCATTTAAAGACACTGACCACACAGTTGCCCTGTCCTGTTCGAAACCACTTCAGAGATGACCACAGGTGCCTGGGCAGATCAAACCCCAAGTGGACAGATGGTTGGGCCAGTGACAAGAGAGCGATTAACGGTCATCGCTGACCACTTGTTGCGCCAAACAGATTCCACTG